TCCCCCCCCCCCCCAAATAAATTCGGCTTTAGCTCGGAACCCGCCCATGCCAAAAAGCAGTGTGGGGGGATGTGGTAAGAAGTAGCCTGGTTTCAGGGGATGTTTGGGCTGTGTCCCCGGGTTGCTGCGCCATTGGCATATTTGTCTTGATAGACGCGTTGCCGCGCACGAATTCAGAAGAGAGTGCCTACCAGGGCAAGGAGCAGAAGGCGAGCTTGAGTGTCCGGTTACCAGTGCGTTGACAGAGTTCGAAGCGGTGGTTGGTTCCAGCAAGTGAGCGCAGGAGTTCGGTCGAGCAGCAGCAGTGTCGATCAGCTTGAGTTGAGTGTAGCAGCGAGCAGAATAACGACAAGTTCCCTCGTCGTCGAAGCATCATGCATCATCCTCGGTCTATTGAGTCATTGATCTATCCTCCTCTGCGACAACCGTCCGAGAGCAACCTACTGAGAGGAACCTCGAACCTAGCACAAGAACCGTTAGTGCAGAGCCACATCGCTCTGCATTGGATTGGTTGATTGGGTAATCAGCAGAACCCGCTATACAAGTATCGCAATGGTTGTTGTACAATTTCCGGGGGGACGCAGTGGGCAGTTGGAAGGGGGCGTTGGGTTCAGGTTCATATTTCGTTTCGGGGATATTAAAGGAGTCAGGCAGGCGCGGGGTTGTCCGGCTAAGAACGTGACCACCGCCACACGCATCACATTCAATTGCGCGAGAGTGAGGGGTCTCGGGTTATTGCCATGACTGCGCTAGGCACCGTGGAGTTCTGGGACAGTTTCCATCGGAGGGTGAGCCAGTAACCGTAGCATACTCCCACCTTCAATAGCGTACGTAGAGTATGGTCGGGTTGCTGAGGGAGCAAGCGATTCCTACCCAGGAAAGACAGCTACGGCAACGAGGGCCCGCCGTATGCGTCATGCACGAAACACGATGCTACCTCTGGTAGTGCGCTTCATAGGCCCGCGGCTATGGCGGACACGCTGCTGTGTGCTGCGTTGACGTTCAACACGACAAATTCCATCTTGACCGGACTCTTCGTCCGCCTCGTCTATGTCCCTCGACCAAACTGCACAACTGCACAAACAACCTCGCGAGAGCAGGAGCACACGGAGTGGTATCTGCCGGTCGATGTCGTCGTTCGCGAGGTAAGTCCATGCTCGTGGCGTTTCGCTCTCTCTCGGCTTAGAAGTTGGCTTTCTCTCTCTCTCTCTCTCTCTCTCTCTCTCTCTCTCTCTCTCTCTCTCTCTCCTGTGTGTGAACAATTCAAACTGCTGCTGAAGTCTAGACGTGTATCTGACATTTGAGGCCACCAGCTCTATTTTTGTTCCGCCGCACCTTGTTCTGCCTGCTGCGAACTTCCAGCAGTACTGTAGAAGATGTACGCTCATCGCCCTGTTTGCACACCACACAATGCAAGCGAAAAAAACCTGGGGGTCGAGCGGGCTTGAGCTACTCGCCGCGCGCACTCTGGCATACTCAATCGTAGCCCCCGGGGCAATCTCATAATGATACTCTTTAACATACAAGTGTCCAGCGTAGTGTCCGTTGGGGCAACTTCGCGCATGCTGCGTCGTGCAAGGCTAACAGAGGAAACTATCGGTATGCCCCCGAATCGTTGGTGAGTTCAGGTAAAAGCAAGATCCGAGGTCGGTCGTGTGTACCCTCGCTTTCGACACGCTCTTCCGGCCAGGTCGGGGGTCCGAGTGTCAGCGACATACTGCTGTGGGAGTTTTGATATGCTTGCGTAGGAACTGTCGTATGATGAACGCCGGTCCTCGCAGCAGCGGCAGCTGTTGTGGCGTCGGAGATGCAATCTCGTGACGTTCCGGGGGCACCGCAACTCGTGTGTCATGCAGATACCCTCCCCCCCGCCTCCATGCCTTTGCTCTCTCCTTTCTACCGACCAGGTATTGTGTGTGCATGCCGAGCTAACCGCGCAGCTGCTGCGCTTCGCGACAAGCCAATTGGCCAGCGGTGGCGGCAGCAACGGTGGTCCATGGGAGGACGCGGGTCGGGGGCAGGTTTCCAGGAAGCGCCCCCGGATTCTTCACTCAGGGTGCGGGTCTTCCACCGTCGGCGTAGTGCTGCAGCGAGAGCATGGCTGCGACGTCGTCAACGCCGACTTCAGCAAGGTATATAGGTGTGGGGATGTCGGTTCATCTTCATGGCACTCTTCGCATAGTCTACATATACCCAGTTAGTTCGTTGTTGCCGTGGTCGACAGAAATAAGGGTGCTTTGCTTCTCTATCGAGGAACCGAAACAAAGGAACGAAGGGGCAGAGCAGGGCACACTGGATCGTTTCGTGCGTCTTTGCAAACCTCTGTGCACTGCCACATCTGACGATTGGCAACACCCCTCCCCCGCACTTAAAGCCAGCACTACCCTACACGCGTCATTTTTGTAAGCCTGAACGTCTCTGATTCTCCCCTCTCGCTCCCTCCCGCCCCCCCCTCGGTGCCTCTGGTGGCGTTCTTTAAATCCTGCGGTGTCGATCGGCCTGCGGCGTGTATCAGGGGGTGATGGACAGCATGCGCGCGCTGTACCCGGGGTGCGAGTTCATCCGCTCGGACGCGCGGGATGCGGCGGAATTCCCATCGCAAAGCTTTGACATGGTGATTGACAAGGGGATGTTCGACAGCGCAACGGCGCGGACGGAGGGGAGGGTGGAGACTGCCAAGTAAGGGGGGGGGGGGGGGGGGGGGNNGTGCCACAACAGGTTTGGGGTGCTGGTGTCTGGGCAAGAATTGTAGTACCGAAATTTCGCGCGCGTGAAGAACAAGCGACAGGCTGTCTAGCACAAGAGGGATGAATCACACTATGTCACGCATATTCAGCGGCCTTCTGACACACGCGGAGAACGTTGCCCCCCAGCGGGGGGACTGCAGCTTGTGTTCGAGCCTAGGAGTCCCTGTGCGTACAAACACACCAACAACATTTGTCGAACCCGGTTGAAGTGTTGAAGGAGCTGACGAGAGGAGACGGCCATGTCTGCGTGGTTCTGATTGGTCCCACACAAGGGTCGACGCGGGCCGCATAGGTATATACGAGGGCGCGGACAACATTCCTTCACCAATTGAGGGGGATGGGGTTCTCGCAAGACTCGCAGCTATGCGCACTAGGATTCACGAATTCCAAATCAACTTGCCCTCCTCTCATCTGTTACGTAGGCATTCGAATTGTGTAGGGTCTAGTTTTGGCGTGCAAGCGGCTCTATCGCCATAAGAATGTCGCGGCCGTTTCCTTGGTCTCGTTTTTTCATCGACCAGCAAGCGGGGTTGACACTCCCGCGGCAGGCCGTTTCCCTTCCGTCGCGAAACCCCAACCTGTCATGAAGAGCCCGCTTTTTTGTATTTTGGGGCACCACACGACCGCCCCCGCCCCCCCTGCCGTATACATGTGTCTGCGCTCCGCGTGTTTGCTTGTTTTGGTTCGAAACTCGCAACAAACGCCAGGAAGCTGCTGGACGAGGCTGCGAGAGTGCTGGCCGTTGGGGGGAAGTACATGATCTTCAGCGCCTTCAGCAACGACGAGTTGGGGCACAAGGACATGGCGGACATGCTCGTTCACCCGGGGTTTGGAGGACAAGTGCAGGCGAGTTCCATAAGTCTTGATTTCGGTGGTACTTACAAGAGGGTCATCTGAGGAACGCACTGAGGTGGCTATTCCCAGCAACCGTGCAGAGGATAGGTACTAAATGGGGCACCGCATTCTCGTCCTGAGTCCCCGACGGTGTTATCTCGTAGTTCACTTTTTTTCGTAGGTTGTCGATGGTTAGGCCTGACGGAGTGTTTGGGCTGCCACTGAGGTTCGGTGAAAGCGTGATTTTAGTTTGCTTGAGGACCACTGGTGCTGCTGTCGTTGATGCATCATGGGTACTGTCAGCATGAATGAGTTGGTTTAGATCTGCCGCACTTACAGATTGAAGAATTGCTTGTGTGCAACCGTTCTTGGGTCCCCTACCCCATTCCGTTCCCGCGTCAACCCCCGATAAACGCGAAACTTCCGTCGCCCCTCGTAGCAGACCCCAGACGAAGGTGATCTTTCCAGAAACCGAACTGTTGACCGCTCTACCTCTGCTGCCGCTGCTGTTTGCTGCTCCTACAGATGAGAGTAATCGACACGCCACCACTAGAGTACCCGGACCAGACGTCGAGCTACCTCTACACCTTGACCAAGGCATAGGGCGTACCGGCAGCTGCAGGCGATTCCGGAAACAGCAGGGCCGAAGACATCATCACCGCCATGCTGCCGCTGCTAATTCGTGTGCCTGCTCTCCGAGTCCGGTTGTGCTCCCACACACGACTCCGGTCTAACTAGCGAATGGCTGCTGGCGGTGTCGAATAAAAGTGGTAGGTAGCTCATCCCGCTGGAGTGATAGTTTAGTCACGCGCGACACGGTGTGTCCGTTGAGTATTCCGTTTGTACCCGTTGAATTGATCGCTGTGGGAAAGTCTACGGCACAAACCAGAACACACGAGACATGTTAGCCTCAAGAAACAGCCCCCCTGGCACCGTCGTGCAGCCCCCGCACGCCCAGTAAAACGACACAGTTGCAGCCATCTCGGCAGCAGACATAAAGCATGCCTACCGCGAAAAAAACACGCCACCGTCAATGCAAGCGGAGACGTGTTTCGTTCAAAAGCTCCTCCTATCGCCCGCCACGTTGACCCGCCATCGATCAGACCCCAACAAACCGTTAATCACTCCACCGAAAGACAGCTCTCATGGCGGATCGACGTCCAACCCCTTGAAGAACGTAAAGGTAGCCTTCGTGGCGAGCAGTAAGTGCCTAAATCCGGCGCTAGCTGCCGTCCCGTCGCGACGCACGCCTACAACCGAACACTTGCCTCTTCTTTGACTACGTAACTTATACTCCTGCGGTCGTGTCTCGAGTTAGCCCGCAGCACTGGTGTGCAGCACAATGGAAGTCTCCGCAAAAACAAAATATGAGAGCCAAAAAACAAGCAGCAGCAATCCTTCCGGGGCATCGAGCACCGATCACGCGCCTTGCGCGAACGAGTGTCGTTGAGAATCGCAGTACTTTTCTGGGCCAGTGTTGCCCCCCCCCTATCCATGTGTGCAATCGCAACCCCCCGCTATTACGAGGCCCACCGTGAGCCGTCGATGTATCGCAGCTGTTGGGTTCAACAGACAATCGAACGGTAGTCGAAGGGGGCGGACACACACACAGACGAAAACGGCGGTTAGATGGGAGGAGTACACAGGAGTACCGCGGCGTTTTTTTTGTTGTTGCCAACGGGAGGTCGGAATGGACAAGGAACTTCTCCTGCGTTCGTCCCAGTATCCCAAATGTCGGCCTCGCACAGGTAGCAAGCGCAGTTGTGGTGCACGTATGGATAAGAGACTCCACAATTTGGTGTAGGAGGAAGACAATGCCGTGTCCGGGTGTTTCCACTGTGGTGGAGGACAAAACACAAAGGCGGCAAGAACAACCATGCAGGGGCGACACATGGCAGCAGTACCACCCCCGCAATAACCACCACCCTGAATCACCGGTATTCTTCCTCCTTCACCAACATCATATCGCCTGACAATGATCATTAGTAAACACACTCAATGCGCAAAAACAAACTTCCGTACATAACAAATTCACCTTCACCCACCTGAATCATGGGCACCACCTGCATCAAAAGCAATAGCGCCTGACAACAACCAACAACAACAACAAATCAAGAGCGCAAACAAACATCCAAAACACGAAAATACACCTGCGGTGCCGCCTCGGCTCCCCCGCTGTCGACCGCCTCCATCTCCTCCTCGCTCATGGCCGGGCGGCCGAACATGGCGCCGCCGACGATCTGGGAGAAGTCGAGGGCACCCGGACTGTGCCGATGGCGTGCGGGGAGGCCATCTTTTTCCTTCTTATCCTGCCGGAGGGATGGACATACACGGGGAATTCAAAAGAGTGCGTCTTCATTTTCCTTGTTGCGGCGCGTTGCGGGTTGGGACCAATGGGTAGCGTCTGGGGTGGGCAGCGGTGGAGGCAACCCACACCGTGCGTGGAAAACATAACACACCTTCACAAAGATCATCAGAACAAGTAAAAAAGAGATCGATGTCCAGAAAAAGGGGGGGAAAAACTGCCCTCGCCATTCCGATCGGCGCTGTAAAGCATCTAATGAAAAGACTACAGTCGTACAGTACGGCAGACCGGCACCAACACTAGTGTACCTTCTTCTCCGTAAGGAGGGCCCGTTTCCCGACGAACTTGATCAAGGGCTTGTGGCTTTTCTTCCTTGGTGCCACGAAGTCGGCCCCCGCCATGAAGGCTTCGGCCATGGCGTCCTCGAGGCTAGGCTTCTTCAACTATGCATACAATGTATGGCGAGGAACGGCAGCAGCAACAATGACGACGACACCGGTCAAAGGAGCAACAACAATAGCCAACGACAGTTGCAGCAGCAACACCAACGACGACAACGACCTTCAATCAACGACGGCAACAGCGGTGGCAATGACAAACATCCAGGTACAAGAAGAGGCCGGTTCCGTGCGACATTTTTCGACAATTCTGCACGTCCACGGGACTGCCGTACGTTCTACAACAGGCAAACACGACAGTACCGAGCGAGACATTCCATCAGGTCGGGGGGGGGGGGGGGGGGGGGGGGT